CGCCCTCCGCTGTCACATAGTGGAAAACGTGACCGCGCGCGCTGCGCCCGCCCCGGCGCGCACCATTGGTTGCGGTGCCGCCTCATCTGCATACTGGCGGGGCGGAACCTGAGATCGGTGCGCGTCAATTGGTTGAGACGACCGTCGCTCCCTTTACATAAGACGCACATGGAACTCCATGTTCGCCTCCCGGGTTCCTCAATGAAGACGCGGCCGGCTCGTGCGCCCCTCCGCATTCTGGCGAGTGGGCTCGTCCACTTCCGGCCCGCGGGCCTTCCATTCACCTGGCGCGGCGGCTGTCGGCTCGCCCGGCGCAGAGTGGCGCGTACCACTGCGGGCGCGGGGGGCACTTATGCCGGGCCCCTACGCAATTCGCGCCCAGCGGAGTCCTGGGGCCACGAGCCTGCGGGCCTACCTTCCTACCGCTTGCGGCGACACGTCAGATCCGGGCACCCCGCAGGACAGTGAAAGCTCTCTACTGGCACCCCTCGCTCACCCAGCCAAGTTCATTCATTTCCTTTCTCATTCATACATGGCGAGGCGCCGGAAGACAGGGCGGCCTCTCTGGATTTGCTGCTGCACACCCACCTAGGACATCCTATGCCCCAGGTTGACCGTCGGCCAGAACACAACGCTTCCATGTAGCCTTTCTTGTTTTTGAAGCCAGGTGTTGCAAGGGTGTATTCGGGAAATAAGGTCATGATTACTGTGCAGAGATAAAAGGAAGAAGTGATTTTCCCTGCCCGCAAACGCATAGAGAGAAAAGACTGGCGTTCTAAAGGGGAACGTAACCAAACGGGATGGTGTTGTTTATTAACCTTACAGGCCCAATGGAGGCAAGGCACTTGAGGATGGGTAAATGGGGAACGCATCTGGGAAATTAGAACTTTTCCAAGGTGGAGGCTGCCGATGCTCGCGTTTCAGGGTAGGGAACTCCCCAGGGATAGGGCATCGGCTTAGGCTATTTGTTGTTTCAAGAGCAGTGTCTGGAAGCATACCAACCATTCAGGCTCCCGTCCAAAGGGCAAAGGAGGGAGTAGAACTGCCCTGGGACTGGTTTGAGGCCCGAGATTTACTTGTATGACATTGAACCATTTAAAGACTCTCAAAGTGTTAGGGTGTGATGGGGGAGACGAGGTTGTCTTGTCTTTGATGGGTGGAAAGTTCACTTGGCACTGCCCAGGAGTTGAAGCCTAGCAGCATCCACTACTCTGGATCTTCCCCTGGGGTCTCCTAGGAACCAGGGATGGGAAACAAAGCAAACATTATCAAAAGAAGCCTGTGAACAAACTGAGCCACTAGTCTACACAGCCAGCTAACCCACATTCAAGAATTCCTGGGTGTGAGCCACTCCTTTCTCTCTGCCTGGGCAGGACAGGCACACAATTCTTCAAATGCAGATGGAGCAGATACTAAGTTCACCTCAGCAGCTCTTCCTGAAGGAGCCCTGGGAAGCCAGATGTTGACCCACACTGCAGAGAACAGGGCACTGCCTCTAGTTCCTCTGACACTGACACCTCACCACGCTCCCCAACACACAAGCAGCAAAGCTGGGCCAAGCTGCACCCTGCACACACCCAAAGGGCCTTTTGTTTCCTCGCTGACATTGACGTCAATGGCAGCTGCATTGTTCTGGAAACTAGAGTACAGGGCTCATCCACCTGCAGAGTCTTCTTCATGCTCGCTCAGCTTCTTCATGCCTTGCTCCATATTTGGCCTAATGTCACAGTTCCTCCTAAATTTAGCATTTTTATGTCCACCAGTAAATCCTCTAGAAAGACATAGAAATCAATTCCTTTGGGAATTCAATATTGTGGGACTCTAGGCCTCTTTGGAATCGAGTTTGTCTTTGGCATCTCACTCAGTTGAATTCTACTTTCTTGTTAAGGAACTTTCACTCCACAAATATTTGCTAACCCCTGAATGTGGAGAGAAATGCAAAAAATGCACCTCCTTGGTCTTTGAGGTTGTTGTTAAGACAGTGTCTTGCCCTATATCCCAGGCTTGTCTGGATTATAGATTGTTGTGTGCTGCCATATGGGTGTTGGTCCTCTGTAAAAGCAACAAGTGTTCTTAACTGCTAAGCAACCTCTCCAGTCATGAAGACACAGTTTTAACAGAAGCCTCCTCCTCTACTAAAATAACCATGCCATGTAAGAAATGATTAAAGCATCAACCTTTCTGGCTATAAGGACATTAGAAGAAAAACCAATGGCTTGGCTAAGATGCATGCTATATTTTTTGGTGGGGGATGGGTAGCCATGGCTCTCAGGGTTTGTGCCTTGAAAACTAAGTTGTGGATCAGGTTTTCTGATCTCTGGAGGTTTAAAACTCTTCCTAGGGTTTGGAGGCCACTCATAACCCTCACAGTTTTGAAGGAACCCACAGAAAGGCAGCCAGCCTGTCAGCAAGAAAGCTGTGTCCAGGGTGATGCACAACCTGTGAGGTACTCCCCAAATCTGATGTGCTCCCCATGTCTAAGATAACACCCAATGTCCACGGCAATGCCCTGTATCAGTTACTTTTAATTTTTTTTTAGAAAAAATATTTTTATGGTTTATTTAACTTTATTTTATGTGCATTGGTGTGAAAGTGTCAGATCTCCTGCAACTGGCTCTTCAGACAGTTGTGAGCTGCCATGTGGGTGCTGGGAATTGAACCCAGGTCCTCTGGAAGAGCAGTCAGTGCTCTCAACCACTGGGCCATCTCTCCAGTCCCTTAATTTCTTAATTTTTTCATTTATTTTGTGTATCTGGATATTTTTGGCCCCATGTACACCTATACACCGTGTATGTGCTTGGCGCCTTCAGAGATTCCACAATCTCCAAAAATGGCACCAACAGCCAAGGACAAAGTACTCAAACACCCGAGCCAGTGAGAGACATGTCACCTTCCAGTTATAAAATGCCCCATGTCTGAGATGATTGATCCCTGTGCCTGGAATGGTCTACACATCCACAGTGATACTCATACTCCCCCATACTCAAGGTGAAGCCCTCCTATCACTTCGATCTGGAATTTGCCTGTATATTAAAGAGTAGGTCACCAAGGTGGTATTGTTGGGAAGGGGTGGAGCCTAGCGGGAGCTTTTAGGTCATTGGAGAAATGCCTTTAAAGGGACCGTGGAACACATGCTGGTGCAATGACCACTCTTCTCTGGTAATGAGGCCAAAAATCAGTGGTGATAACCAATTATGAACTGAAAATTTTCAAAACTATGAGCCAAAATAAACTTTTTATAAACCGAGTATCTCATGTATTTGTTATAATGGCAAAGCTAGTATCCGTGTCCAAAGTGGCACCGCACATTTAAGGTGAACAACATACCTGAGATGACCTGCATGTCTGAAGTGATCCTTCCATGTCTGGGTGATCATATCTGAGGTGATTCTCTATGCCCATGGTGATCCTTCCATGTCTGGGTGATCATATCTGAGGTGATCATATCTGAGGTGATTCTCTATGCCCATGGTGATCCTTCTGTGTCTGAGGTAATCATGTCTGAGGTGATCCCCCTTATCTAAGGCAATCCTCCATGTTTGAGGTAATCTCATTGTCTGATCCTAGCCTTACTTTCGATGTGATCCCCATCCACGAGACTCTTCCTCCTTCACAAGGAGAAAGGTTCTCTTATTAGTCAAGGGCTGAGCTCTCTATTCTTCTGAGCCATAGGTTTCTCCCAGCAAGCCTTGCAGTAGTTCCTCTTGCACTATCTCCCTCTGCTCCTGTGTCCCCCAAGAAAGTCATCTTAGTCTCCTTCCAACATTGTCACTGGCATTTCTCCCCCTAATATGGATGTCCTAGATTAGCATCTGAATTGAGGCCGTTTATGCCCTGAGAAGATCAAAGCTAGTCACCAGCAGGGTTCTTAATCCCGGAGGACACAAAGAAGAAAGCTGGAGGCTGAGGCTGGAGGTAGGTGTGGCCACTAGGGCCCCGCCTTGACTTCACAAGCTGTGACTACCCGTGTGCACAATAGTCAGAGTTACCACTAACCAGAGTTACCACATGCCTTCTCTTAATCCTCACAGCCATATAAGGTGGATGTCTGTCCCCATTGCTCCTCTGCACAAGACATTGCCAGCTCTCAGCGTGATAGGAATCACGCCTTTGATAACCCTTGTCTACAGCATGAGCTCATGGTCACCCTCACCGCTCCACCCTCTAGAGCCTGGGAAAGCGAAGGGCACAGGTTATGAAAGACCAAAGTTCAAGCTTCAACGGTCTCTCTGCATCTGGAATATTCTCCCCAGCAGGAAGCTCCATTGTGATATGGCTGGCAAAGTGTTCCCTGAGCTCCTCTGGTTTCCTTCTAAACCCGGAATGTGAAGAGCGGAGTGAGGGTTCTCCTCATGGGTTGCCCCTGACATCCATCCCTCCAGCCATGTCAAGCTGGCACACTGAGCCCTGTCAGTTCTCTGCCTGAAAGCCTACCCTTTAGTGAAGTCTGTTCCAAGCCTGCTGAGGACTGTGTGGTTTGGGTGTTTGGGGTGCTCCTGCTGAATTCTTAAAGCCTGACAAGGAAAAACATCACTGACTGTTCTCAGGCCAAGATTCGCAGGAAGTGACAAATGGGCCTGACTGAGTCACTCACAAAAGAACCCCAACTGGAATCCTAGACTAGAAAAGCTTCTGTAAATATGCCTGTAACCAAGATTTCAGTCTGGAATTGAACCGCTTACCATGACTGATCTCCTTTCAACACTGGCATGTAATAGCTGAGGCAGGCCGCTTTTATAAAGAAAAGAAACTTATTTAACTCGCTGCCCTGGAGGCCGAGAGTCCAAGATTGGGTGACCCATGGCTTATGTCTTTGATGAGAGTCCGTATTGGATGGCATCAGGGCAAAGCGCATCAAGGAAGGGGAGAATGTATCACCAGAAATGAAGATAGGCATGAAGGAGGTTTTTTTTTTTTTTTCCCTGTGGCTGCTCTTTTTAGCACCCTAACTTCCGAATAAACCAATGTGTCCCATGCACTCAATCCCCAGCAGCTTCAATGATCTAAGGCCCCACCTCTTAAAAGGTCACACCACCTCCCAGTGCCACTGCTCTGAGGACCAAGCCCCCTATACATGGGATTTCGAGAAACAAATCACATTGTAACACGTAAAGCACACCTGTCCCTGTGTCCAGTGGATTGTAATGGCCAGGGATCATTAAACTAGGTCTTGCCAGTCAAATTTGGCTTGTGGCCAGCTTTGGCATAACCTATGAGCTACAGGGAAACGGGAGAAGAAGAAAGCGCCAGGATATTACTGTGACCCTACAAAGAAAGCTCAAAGCAGTAGCTGTTTGCTCTCTGGCTCTTTGCAGGAAAGGTTCGCTGACCCCTGCAAATAACCTAGGGTTGGCAGCACTATAATTCCTAGACTCTTTGCCTAGACGGCTGTGATGGAAGCAGGACAGACGGAACGAGGCATGGGACATCAGCGAGATGCGGTGCTTGCTGAGTGACGGGCAGTGACAATAACGATGACTGTGATGTTGGACCTGGACACCAGGAAAAAGGAAAAGGAATGGGCTTAGGACAATTTCCCATTTAAGAGAAATTTTGAAAGCTTTGGGGCCTCTAAGATAGGTTGGGAAATTTTTAGCTCCTGTAGAACTTGCTAGATTATTGAAAATGAGGCCTAGAACCTGATGACAAGGGTCAGAGACCCAAATCCCAGCCCTGACAGGCATTCAGTGTTCATATCAGCCAGTGAGTGCATGATCCTGACCCTGTGCTATGGATCATTGGGTAGATAGGCTAAGAATCTAACACCCCACCCCCCACACCAATTCTCCAGAAACTTCAATGGAGCAGGAACAATTGCTTCCCCAGAGGACTCTGCTCTGGCCAGATCCTTCCTGTGGGGCAGGTGCCTGCAGGATGGTATTTGGCTTAAGCCCCTAGCCTTCCCGCATGTCTCAGGTTACAGGCCTCCAGTCAGGGGCACAGTCCAGAGCTCTGCTCTGGCGGGAACCTGACCACTAGCCACCAACCTGCTGAACTGGCTGACCTGTGCCGGGAAGCTCTGCAGGCACATGCAGTATAGAGGATCTTCACTGAGCCACAGCGAATGGAGGACAGGGCTCCGCTGGCGTTCAGCTCTCCTCTGTGATGTGGAGTGCGGTGTCTGCAGTTTCTGGCGGAGGCACCAGGAACTAGTTCTCCTCACTTGTGGCAATGACTTCAACAGAATGATAGTAAATCTTTAACAGCTGGCTCTCTAAAGAAAAAAAAAAAACACACAGTAGAGGAAAGGAAGCCAAAGCTTGCAGCATGTCATGTGCCCATTTCTATGGTTAAAAAAAATGAAATCCCATCCCACTGTGACCAACTCTGAGCTGCCACTATGACCCCATTAGCAAAGTGGCAAACCAATCAAGGCCACATATATGGAGAGACACTCAGTCCCCAGCCCTGGCTCAGATCAGCATGGCCACTAGAGCATATTCTTAGAAAACAAGAGTTGTCTCTGCTCAGCTGCAAGGAAGAATCGCCTTTCTGGAATTCGTGAACTAGAGAGCAATCTTCCCAAGCTCTCTTAAGAAGATTGAAAGTGGGGCCATTGTCACCAGGTGCTCTCAATCACGTGTTCCCCACCAGCCACCCCACAGAGACCTCAAGCTCCTTAGTTGGGGACTTTGCTGGAAGACGGCCACATCGACAACCAAATGATAGCATTGGGTTCGTTGCAGTGGCAGGGACTGGGTACCACTCCTGTTCTTGGTGAACACAAGATGTTCTCCCCATGCACTGAGGGCTGATGGAGCCCCGTCCCCATCCCTGGAGCAGTATGCCCAGGTATTTCAGTTTTGATGGAAGTCTCCGAGCGCTTCCTTTATCCAGTCCCTGCTCTTCTGATGTGCTAGCTGATCTCTCAGAATCGCAAACCTGCTTCAATGTGGCCATTCTGGCCTCGAATGGTTGGCCTTGAGGTCAAAGGTCAGGGGGAGCTCACAGCAGTCTTGGAATGTCTTCTTCTGATCTAGGGAGCTAAAGGGAGCAAGGTTTGCTGTGAAGTGGCTCCGCCTGAAACACTTACCTTGAAGCCAGGTATTGAGTGGAGAGACCCAGGTTTGCAAGCTGTTCTTCTAAAATGAATTTACCTTGCAGCAAGGTGTGTCTGTCATCCATCTCTGTGTGAGTATATGCTTAAAAAAGCAAACGAGAAAGATGCACCTGGTTTTACATCATTCCTCTCTGAATTACGAGGAAACATCAGCTTTCTTCTTTACACATTCAGGATTCTTTATATGTATTCCACAAAAATTTATTTTACGGAGCTGGAGAGATGGCTCAGAGGTTAAGAGCATTGCCTGCTCTTCCAAAGGTTCTGAGTTCAATTCCCAGCAACCACATGGTGGCTCACAACCATCTGTAATGGGGTCTGGTGTCCTCTTCTGGCCTGCAGGCATACACACAGACAGAATATTGTATACATAATAAATAAATAAATAAATAAATAAATAAATTAAAAAAACTATTTTACACAGGGCCAGTGAGGTGGCTCGGTGGGTAAATGCATATGCCATCAAGCCTGATGACCTGAGTTCTACTCCCAGGACCCACATGGCCAACTCCCAATTGTTATCCTCTGGTCTCTATATTTGGTGTCACACATGGGCACATGAGTGCAGATGTTTGCACATACACACACACACATACTCCCACACACACCAATAAATAATCGCAAAAAAAAGTACATAAGCCGGGCAATGGTAGAACACGCCTTTAATCACAGCACTTAGGAGGCAGAGGCAGGCAGATCTCCGTGAGTTCGAGGCCAGTCTGATCTACAAAGCGAGTTCTAAGACAGCCAGGACGGTCACAGAGAAATTCTGTCTCGAAAAAACAGAAAAGGTACATAGTTTTGAATATATAAGTGACATATATAATGTGTTTATATGTTATAATAAGTATGGTTATAATTAGAAATGTAAGTTAGACTTTAAAAGTTATCAGCTCTTACATATAAAATAAAACATTTCTTTAAAACAGGGTGCTCAGTGCAGGCTTAGAATGGCTTGCCTGGCGACTCTGGTCCCGTGACTAGAAGTGGTGCTGAATGCTTCACGTAGTGAAGCCACAGCTTTTATTTGACTTTTATCCATTTCCCAGACTTTATCTTCAATATTAGGTAAATCTGAACTTCATGCTATTTTGAACAACTCGTTGCAGGAGTTTACCAAGTTTATGTTTCTGGTCCAAACCTTTTCAGGCATTATAAACAAAGAACAGCCTCGGAGCAAATGGTGGATGATCAAAACAAATAAACCACACACACACACACACACACACACACACACACCTTGGCACACATACACATAGACGAAACTGGGAGGGCAGCAATGCAACACAGTTAAAATCAGAGCTATTGCTAGTCCCGAGAGGGACTCACGGCTTTGTGCCAGTTCTGTTAAGAGCAAAGCCTCTAGCGAGGTGAAAAGAGAATGAGAAGCATGGGTCAGTCTGTGAGGCAAATGAAAGCAGAAGTGGCAGTATTGCTAGATACCAAAAATTTGTGCTTTTCTCAGACTGTATCGTGTTTATATGCAAGATATGTACACACATAGAATACATGCACTATCAACAAACACAAGAAGGGGGTGTGTAAAATTTTTTTGTTTGTTTTGAGACAGGGTCTCATGTATATGGTGCTGGCACAGAACTTGCAAGGTAGAACTGGCTGAGAACTGACCGTCTTTGAACTCACATAGATCTGCCTGCCTCTGAATGCTGGGATTAAAGGTCAGTTCTTCCTTCCTTCCTTCCTTCCTTCCTTCCTTCCTTCCTTCCTTTCTTTCCTTCTTTCTTTCTTTCTTTCTTGGTTTTTAGAACCTTGATTGTCCTGGAACTCACTTTGTAGATCAGCTGGCTTTGAACTCATGGAGATCCACCTGCCTCTGCCTCCCGAGTGCTGGGATTAAAGGTGTGTGGTGCATGCTTTTAATCCCAGTACTCTGGAGGCTAAGGCAGGTGGATATCTGAGTTGTAGACAAGCCTGGTCTACAGAGAGAGTTCCAGAACAGTCAGGGTTACACAGAGAAACCCTGTCTTGAAAAACTAGATAATAATAATAAAATAATAATAATAATAATTTTTAAGATTATTAATATAATTGCACTTTTCCCTTCTCTTTCCTCCCTTTAACCTCCATTGCTCTATTTCAAATTCATATCCTTTTATTTCTTTGTTGGTGTGTGTGTTCCTAAATATATAAATAGAACCAATTTAGTCTGTATGTTGCTTGTATGGATGTTTTCAGGACTGACCATTTGGTATTGGATGACCAACTGGTGTGCTCTTCTCTGGGGAAGACTGTTTCTTCTGCTCTCAGTATTTTTTAGTTGTGTGTCATTCTTTGTGTAGGGTTGAGGCCTCCTGAACTTTCCTCCATCCATGCTAGCCTGACTAGGCAGCCGTGTTGGTAAGACTTGATGGGTGTAGCTTCTGACATGTCGAGCAGACACCATCTGACAAACTCCATGCTCCTCTGTCTCTTACAAACTTCCTCCCCCCTTCCACAATGATACCGAGCCTTAGGTGCAGGAGCTGTGTTACAGGTGTATCAGTTGGAATTGGTCTCCACAACTCTGCATTTTGATTGATTATGGTTTGAAAGGAAATGGGGGGAATGGGTAACTGTAATTAGGGAGGGGGAGGGAGATAAGACAGAAGAAAGAGGGTAAAAGAACAGAAGGATGTCTGAAAAGTTAAGAGGGTTCATATTATTAACTATCTCCCTAAAATTCCTCTAATATAACTAACTCAATGTATACACACACACACACACACACACACACACACACACACACACAAAGTTTAAATGAAAATTTCCCAGGCTCTCAATGCTCCCCCCAGAAGCCACAGACCACTTAACAAAAACCCCAACTCTGGGCTTGAGAAGCCCTCTTTCAAGAAGTTGGCCAGCGTTGTCCAAGAGACTTCTAAACATTACAAGCTATTGCTATTGCCCCTGATTGCTCCTTAGAGGTGGAAGGTTAAGTCCTTATTGTTGAAGACAGTGTGCACTTCAGACACAGGGCCCAGGGGCCCCTGAGCTGGCACTGGCCTGAAAGCCTCCTCCCTGAGGACTGGCAGTCATGGTACCAGAAAGCTCCATGAAAGCATCCAAAGGAAGGAAGCCACCAGCAGTCCTAGCCAGCAGAGAACCACAGCAATGGTGATCATGACAGAATAGCCCTAACGGTGCAGTAGAGGCACACATACCTGGTAACCACCAGCTCTCTAGCTGAATTTGAGACCCACTCAACACGAGGGAAATCAGGCCTGGCCCTGGAAACCTGGTCAGCTACCCAGGGCTAGTGATTGTTAGGGATCTTGGTGGAGAACATACAACCACCACTTTACTAAACCAGCATAATCCCTACTGACGTTCTAAATATTTGTCCTTTTACCCATTGTTGTCCTCATCCCTCATCCAGGAAAGTTCTCTTTGTGAGACTCCGACCATTTATAGAAAGTGCGCATTGCCATAGAGGCAGTGGAAGAACAACAAGGTCTGCCTTACTTATTTTCCAGGAACTCCGTGTAATTTTCCTGGTTTTGCTTACAGCGTTCTCTCTCTTATCTGAGATTTTGCTTTCCACACTTTTTAAAAAATATTTATTTATTTATTATGTATACAATATTCTGCAGGCCAGAAGAAGGCACCTCATTACAGATAGTTGTGAGCCACCATGTGGTTGCTGGGAATTGAACTCAGGACCTTTGGAAGAGCAGGCAATGCTCTTAACCACTGAGCCATCTCTCCAGCCCCCTTTCCACCCTTTTAACTGCTGGATTTCAACTTGATCTAAAAACATTCAATGGGATCTAGAAATGAGCACATTCTCAGTTTGAAATGGTGTTGCCTTCACTCACCTTCCACATTCTGACCATCCCGGGACCTGAATCATCTCAATGACCTGCGTGTCCACACTATGTGCACAGCCCTCCTGATGGTCACTTGGCTTTTGTTCTTTTAAAAAGAATATGATGATGGGAAGTCCCGGGCGGCTCACAGAGTCCTGCAAGGATGGCCGTGAGTCCCTGCGGTGCCATGAGGCCGGGGGAGTCAGGCGGGCGGTTACGGCGGATAAAAGGCTCACAAGACATAGTAAATAAACATAAGGGTAAACATTTATTACTTAAAAAGAAATAAAAAAACAG